AGCAGCTCTGCTGGGGAGAAAGGCTGAGAGAGCTGGGGGGGTTCAGCCTGGAGAGGAGGAGGCTGCGGGCAGAGCTGATTGCGGCCTCTCCGTGCTTAACGGGGGCCTACAAGAAAGGTGGGGACAGGCTTTTTAGCGGGGCCTGCGGCGACAGGACAAGGGGGAATGGTTTTAAACGGAAAGAGGGGAGATTCAGACTGGACAGAAGGAAGAAATTGTTTGTGCTGAGGGCGGTGAGGCCCTGGCCCAGGTTGCCCAGAGCGGTGGGAGATGGCCCATCCCTGGACACGTTCAAGGCCAGGTTGGACGGGGCTCTGAGCACCCTGGTCTGGGTGAAGATGTCCCTGCCCATGGCAGGGGTGGGACTGGGTGGCCTTTGGAGGTCCCTGCCCACCCAAACCATTCTGTGATTCTACGGTTACTGTTAAAAAGTTGAAAGCTGTGCACATCCTTATCTTACGCAGAACGGTGAAACTGAGAAAGAGGATTTTGCCTTTGTTAGTCTAAACATGGCACTGGCATGTTTTTGCAAGAGGGCAATTAGCTGGGATGCAAAGAACAAGGCTCTGCCTGCCGACTTCAGGGAAGCAGAGTTTCCCACATAACCCTGTTAGATTTTAGGCACCGGGTTCTTGTCTGCTCTGTAGGCAGAGCCAATTCCTACCCAAGATTTCGGCTGTTTCCTCCTCCCTTGCCCGCATGCTGCCAGCCAGGCTCACGTCCACCCAGCAGCCGGACGGAAGGTGTCGCATTCGGACAAGTCCTCGTCACGAAGCCCTGCGAGTTCAACCCCTCAACTCTGTCCCTCCTCTGGCACCGCCACCTGCCTCTGGGAAGGCCCAGACTAAGAGGCCTTATCAATGAGCACCAGAAGTCGCGGCAGAGGAGGTGGCAGATTTCACCGCTCCGATGCTTCGCATCCAAACAGGAACAGGCAGCCTTACCAGAAGCATAAAAGTCAGGGTCGAAGTATGCCATGAGGAAGAAGTTGAAGACAAGCAGCAGGAAGCCAGAAAACGTTATCAAATTTGGGGCCAGCCAGGTAGGGAAGATCTATGGGAAAGCAGCAAAAGAACATATGAACTCATTAAAACATGTAATAAGGACCACGCGCTGCTCTCGGCCATGGCAGAGACCTGGTTACAATCGTCTGGGTGTTAGACAACACTGCTTAGTCGCATCTGGCATATCACGGGGCAGCAGGAAGCTTTAGGCTGCGATACAGCGAGCTCGGGGCAGGCTGCATGCTGGAAGGCAGTGCCCTTTGTAATTAGTTGCACCACAAACGAAGCAGGGCTTTTCAGCTGTCAGTTTTACAGAGAAGACTTTGTGGTGACTGGAGTTTTGCTGTCCCACTCAGGGCAGGACAAGGTCTCACCTTCACTATCGTGTTCCAGAAGGGATGCATGACGTACAGAGACAAGGGGTTGCTGTCCACGGCGCTGTACTGTGAACAAGGGAAAAACAAAAAACAATAGTTAGGGCTCCACCAACACTTCCAAAAAGCCAGAGATCCTGAATATTGAGCTTTCCATGAGGACACCTGCTACCCGAGTCTTGGCATGGCAAGAACACTTGGGTCAAGGACGGAGTCTCACCAGGGACGGTGCTAAACAACCCACAAAGCACTCACCAGCTCCAGCGACACTGGCCACGGACCTGCAGAGGCGGCTCTCAGGTGCCCATCTCACGCCTGCACCCGATGCCTCCCCTCCGCAGGGAGCAGCCCCACGAGAAGAGCGGGTCGCGTGCCCACCGCAACAGTTTTTGGAAGGTGGGAAGAGACTCAAGGACACGCGATCTCCTTTGCAGCCAACGCTCCCATCAGAGCCCTGCACCCCGATGGCCACACCACGGTCTGGTGGCACTCCTCACAAGAAGTGACAGTCCCACAGCCCTAAGCACCCACACCGTGGGACTGACCCACCGAGGACAGCTTGGCGTGCTCTTGCTTGAGCAACCCTGTAGAGCCCTGCCCTGCAAGGCGAGCAGGACCTTCTCGGCTCAGCACCCAAAGGCACCATGCAGAAGGGTAGGAGGAGACGTCCCCACCAGCCATGAGAGCTGGGGCCGGTCTCTAGGCTCCTTTGCGCTTACGCTCCGGCACCCTTTCTGCCAGAGGCTGCAGGAGGACAGCGATGAGCCCCCTTGGTGGGGTCCCCAAAACGGGACAGCGTTCTCTGACGGACAGGATACTAACGGGGGGCTTCAAGGGATACATTTCTGTGCCGACAGCTCCGAGTGACCCAGGCACAGCCAGTGACTGACCCCAGAGGTCCTGCACAAGAACCAGCACGCTTCAGTCGAAGCCACCGAGATGGCAGCTATCACTGTCTCACTCATCTCCAGCCACTTGGAAGAGACCTTCTCCTCCCAGAAAGACAGAAGATATTCATGAGCAAGGTCTTCTACCCCCTCCCCTGCCCTGCAGATACTCCAAAACACCACGTACTCCACCATACCACCACACAAGTATCTCCGAATCCTGCACATCCCGTCACAGTTTCAGGTACAGAGGGTCATCTGGCACTAAAGAGCCGTGCAGAGGCACCAGCTTCCCGGTGCAGCCACGCAGGTGACCTGGGCTGGCTCGTGGGCACCCTGGGACGTGGGGCTCCCAGCCGAGCTCCCAGCCCCACCAAAGGAGGTGGGGACAGAGACTGGGGCCAGAAAGGGAACAGAGCGATCGTAGCAGCACAGGCAACAGATTTCACTGTTTGGAGGTAGGACCCATGTCATTTTTCCTTGCTCAGTTAGGGCAGAGCAGTTTGAAGCCGTTGCCCGCTGACCTGGTGAAGGATCAGCATCTTGCTCCTTGCCTGCACCCAGCTCAGCGAGCTGGAGTCCACGTTTCCAAGGGGAAGGACTGGCGGGTGAACACCAGGAGGCCCGTGGGTACCCCAGGCAGGACGGGTCTCGGGGGGCTCCTCTCCATTAAGGAGCTGAGATTTCCGCAGAGGCAGCTGCTGCCCTTGGGAAATGGGGAGGAAGAGCTCTTACCCCTCACCCCACTGCTTTCAGATCACTTGGCGGGGGGGAAATAAAAAAAAATCAAAGACCTAGACAACCCATGAAACAGTTTCCAGTTAGAAAGTTAAAATTTGACATCATTTGGCTGTCAAGAGCACCACGAGCTGTAATCTGCTCTCCAGCTCCCAGTCTGTTCCTAGCAAAGATTACCCCGTCTAAAGTCCTCTTCCCCAAGTAACACTTTGATAAGAATCCCAAGAAAAATTTCATAGGCTACGAAATTCCTCGGCTCACACGCTCAGTGCCAAGCAGGGCAGCTCCTGGTGCCCACCCACCCCGGGTCCCCATGGTTGGGACAAGACCCCCGCAGCTCCCCAGCATCGCAACCCCACGCTGGTCGAATCCCAAGTTCATAAGCAGTGTTATGGAAAGCAACCAAAGCCTCCACCCCTCCCTGCACCGCCACGGACATAACCTCTGCACTCCCTGAGATAAGGGGAGCTCGGCTGGTAAAAGGAAACCCATCAGCAGAGAGCAGCTCCGCGTCCCCAGCCGCCCCACGGCCTTGACCTAGCCACCGTCTCTGCACCCACGGCTTGTTCCTCCCTCTGTGCTCCTCTCCTCAGCTGGAAACCCCATTTCCCCCAGAAGCAGCCTGTCCGTTTCAAAAGCTGGGAAGAAAGTGGTGGGAAAAGGCAAAGCACCTCCCCACAAGACAGATGCCAGCAGGAGGAAGGGGCACCAGGTCTCGCCTGGCTCTGAGCATGCAGGCTAAGAGCTTACAGCATTTTTTCCTAAGTGGGTGAATCCCATCCTTGGCAAGCATTTCTGTACCCCCACCAGCTCTTCTCTGCCCTCCCCGCGACGGATCGGTCCGTCTCGCTGGGGGTCAGCCCCAGTGCTTACGTCCCCACAACAGCAAGCCCATCGGAGCTGCAGAGCAAGCAGCAACAAAACCCCGAACTCCATGCCGTGCGGAGGCAAGGTTTAAGCCGTAAGGAATTTCAATCCCAGCTTAATGCAATTTCAAGGGACAGAATTCCAAACGCTTTATGAGATAATAGGATTTGAGCTACTGGTTACGGGAGGAGGAGAGCTGGAGACTGATTAAATCTCCTTATCCCCAAAACAGCCTGGAACAAGAAAACAGATGCAATGCTTGAAGCAAGGCAGGGGAAGAGCTCTGGAGTTTCTGTGCTCGTGTTTCTAAGGTACCTCGGGGAAGTTTTCCCAGGCCCATGTCCCGGGAAGCGTCCCCCTCTCCCCCCACGTTCGGGGATAATAGTCAATAAGCAGCTTTTCCCCACGGTCACACGTGTTCCCACCTTGCTTGCAGAACTCAAAGACCTGGAACGACCTGTTTCTCAGGGGAGCGGGCAGCTGTTTTGCAGAGGTTTGCTGATACAACCACCCCAGCTTCAACCGGTCTCCTGGAGGGACACTTCTTTGCCTGCTGAGCGAGGCAGGTAGGCGCTCTGCCAGCTCAGAGGACACCAAGAGACCAAAGGGACCGAGGTGGGGCTGGCGCCAGCCTGCCTGCCACCCTAAGGGACGGCGCTCCCGGGCAGCCAGGACAAGGCTGCCTGCCCAGGACAGCCACCTGCCAGAATACCAATGACCCGCCAGGCATCTTCAGCTACAAAACTCACAAGCACCTGCCATACCCAGCCTCCCCGCAACCGCTTTTTGTCACTTGGTTTCTTTCCTACAGTCATTCCACCTCTTTACCTTCTTGCGCTAGCAAGAAGGGGGTCCCGAGCTGCACGGCACGTGAGCTCTCCGCTCCGCAGGGGACAGCAAGCCAGCAGCACTGCTGGGGACGCTGGCAGCGGGTGAAGGAGGAGGGACGGGCGAGGACAGGCAACACGGGCAGGCTCACCACCCCCTCAGGGTGCCGGGCCTCTGCGTGGTCAGAGCTGGAAGCAAAGCAAGCTGCGGAGATGCTTCACTTGCAGCTCGCTCCTCCGGCTGCTCACCCTCCAGCCCACGCCACGGAAGGCTCCTCGTTCCTGCGTCAGCCCTCCACGGCCGATGTTCTTGGAGACTGACGTTCCCAGAGGAATACAGGCTCAGGATACCTGTCTCCATCCGCCTGTTCATGCACGCTTGTGCCTTGGAGCGAAGCTGAGGAAGGGGCCTGAGCCCCCCCCCCCCTCACACTCAGCGGCCGCGGTTGCTCTGATGAAACACTCCAGAGGCTATAAACACAGCAGTGGTTTAGCTCACCACGCACGGCACCGGCTCCGTCATTCACCCACCTCATCCTCCCTGCCAATGAGCATCAACTTTTCCATTTTGGATCTCTGCGCATTGGTCTAGCGACTCACGCATGTGACTATTATCCTGCTCCAGGTCATATTTCTATCACGGCCTTTGCTCTGATGAAACACTCCAGAGGCTATAAACACAGCAGTGGTTTAGCTCACCACGCACGGCACCGGCTCCGTCATTCACCCACCTCATCCTCCCTGCCAATGAGCATCAACTTTTCCATTTTGGATCTCTGCGCATTGGTCTAGCGACTCACGCATGTGACTATTATCCTGCTCCAGGTCATATTTCTATCACGGCCTGTGACTACCACCAGCTAGGACTCTTGATTTCTCCCTCATTTTCAGGGAGAGAGGGGGAAAAAAAAAACCAAACACGAGCGCATGGAAGGAATTTCGTCCACCCCAGAGCCTCCTTCTCAAAGCAGACAGGCATTTGTAACGGGCCCTGCTCTAAAATAGCACCATGCATGCAGACACCGCTTCTCCTTACAATTGCAGGAAGGAGGCAGCCAGCCCAGGCCGTCCCCCTGGGATTCGGTTTTAAACTTCTTAAGAAAAGAGCCAACTTTTCAGCAAGAACCTCATCACGCGCGCGGTACAGCAGCAGCCTCTCCTGCGCCCTGGCCGTGCCAGGATGGCCACGGGATCGCTTGCTCCACCCAGCCACCCCGCAGGTTGCCGCAGGGCACCCCAACAGCCGGTCCCAGCTGCCACGGAGCCGTCGCGGGCGCAGCGGTGCGCCGACTGCAGCGTTACGGGATTTAAAGACACGAATGGCTCACACAGCTTAAAAACAACATTAATCATGCAACCAGGACATTTCTGGAAGATCCAATTATGCATCCAAGGAGGAAAAAAATACAGATTTATAGCCCAGATTCTACTAATAGCCTTCCTGTCCAGAAAAACAATGCTGCTTTTAAGTAATCCGGTAACCAGGAGCCAGCCGCTGACCAAACGCTGTCGCACGGGTGCCCTGCACGCACCGGTGTCGGACCTGAACGGATCTGGGGTGGGCTGGGAGAGGACAGCACTGGTGGCACAGGCACCAGCGCTGGGGCCAGAAAGCAAAGGTGGATTTGTATGCCCCATTTTGCTCGCAGGTGCTCCAGCAAGGCCCACAGCAGCCTGTGCTGCCAGCCGTGAGCCCGCATATCGCTGCTTGCACCTGCAGCAGAGCAGAGGGAGCCTCGGCAGA